TATTAGCCCAAGAGACAGAAAGGGCCACATAAACCAGAGACTGCATCAGCCTGAGACCAGAAGAACTAGATGGTGCCTGGCTACCACCAATGAACGCCCTGACAGGGAACACAACAGAGAGTCCCATATGGAGCAGGAGAAAAGTGGGCTGCAGAACCCAAATTCTAGTAAAAAGACCAGACTTAATGGTCTGAGACTGGAGAAACCCCAGAAAACATGGCCCCCAGACTCTCTGTCAAGCCAGCACTAGAACCATTCCCAAGGCCAACTCTTCAGACAAAAGATTAGACTGGACTATGGGACATAAAATGATAGTCATGAAGAGTGTGCTTCTTAGCTCTGGTAGATACATGAGACTAAATAAGCAGCTCCTGTCTGGAGGTGAGATGAGAAGGCAGAGAGGGTCAGGAGCTGATTGAACGGACACGGAAAATCCGCGGTGGAAAGGAAGAATGTGCTGTCACAGTATAGGGAAAGCAATGAGAGTCACATAACAAGGTATGTATTAATTTTTGTATGAGAGACTACCTTGAATAGTAAACTTTACAACAATAGACAAGAAATAAAAATGAAAAGATTTCCCTTTTATTTTGATAGCTAAAGCAGATTAAGGATGTTTCTGAAGTACCACTTCTAAACAATGTCCTAACTCTCATAGAAGCAAGGTATTATACCATGACTAAACACACAAGGAAAAAAAAAATTCCGTTAACTTTTAAAAATCACATACTCTGCTGCCTGTATGTCTCCTCCGGTTAGACATTGGAGAATGACTTCGGCTCCTTCGACGTCGGTATTCTGGTGTATATGATCTACTTCGAGATCGTCTCCTGTGAGAATGAGAGTGGGATCTGGATCGAGTGTAACGTCTATGAGAATGCCTCCTTGATCTCGACCTTTGAGAGAAAAATATAGGTAAACATACTAAAATAAAATGGCTACAAGGATGTATACCATAAATCTCCGCCTATTCTCAGCTTTTTTCTCCCTTCTAAGGAAAAGGTATTTTTCCTCTTGTTCTGTTGATTACTACCACCTCATCTCACACATCTATCTGTCCGTTGCTGCCTCCCTAGTTCATCTATCTGATTATTCCATTGTTCTCAGATGGTCCTGTCTATAAATTTCATTAATTCAACAAATTTTTATTTCCCATTCTATGACTCTTCCTTAAATAACTTAGCCAAACCAGTGGGAATGACGGTAACACAAAAAAACTTTAAGGCATGCAAGAAATATTATAAATACTAAGGGCTAGGAGGGTTTAGAGAGCGCGACAACATGGGGCAAAGGGAACGAAAACTAATGAGGGAAGACATACAACAAAGAAGGCTAACAATAAAGCTGGGAGACTTAATAGTTGGAACCTGCTAGGTAGACAAGGGGAAGTTTCTAGGAGTATCAAGAACAAAGGTTCCTGGACAAGAAGACATGGAGACCTGTTTAGAGAACAGCAAAACAGCATCTCTATCTGCTAAGAATTAAAACACTTTACAGTAAGCAGTGAGAGTGAAGATTAGGAAAGGACCAATTGTGTAAAACCTTGATTTATCAGGCTGAGTGTTACTGAAGGGAGGCAAGTTATTAAAGGCTTCTGAGTGGGAAAACCAATAAAATGAGTAGACCACTCTCTAAAAGAAAATTAATCATTTGAGGGGCGGGGTATGTACGAAGAAAATTTGTGTTTGTTCAAGAATATCAAATAGGATACTTCCCATTTTCCTTAGCATTAATTTACAGACCCAATTTTAAAAATAAAGAAAAAACATTAATAAATAGAAAGCCTGTCATTTTAAATAACAACTATTACTTTTAAATAGTCATGAAAAGTGAGACACCAACTTAAAACTCTTCAGGATCCCTACCCTTTCTTTCTTCTGTTTCATGCTCCCTTGGCAAGGAAACTAGTAAAAAAAATTACAGTGACTTATCACATTGTCTGTCCCAATTATTTTAAACCTTTTTTTTTTCCACCCCAGTAGACCTGGGACATCTGATATGCTGAATTTTGCAGTGGTTTACCAGAGAGTTTAGTGGGGCGACCTCTGAATCACCTGGTGATTCTTTTTCCCCCTCTAAATTATACCTGAACCGAGCCCCAGCCTGGGTCTACTGAGTCAAAATCTGCAGGTAATGGATGTAGCTGGAATGTGAATCTTGAAAAAGCTTCCCAAACCAGTCTGATTCTCAGTACAACAAATACACATGAACCTTCTCTACACTAAATTACACACAAGTCTCCAATGGAAATAATTATCAATTTGTTGGGCAAATCTTGTTGGGATTAAACCCAAACACTAACTCTCAAATGCCAAATGCCAAGCACATTTAAGACAATCGACATATAATTTGTATTCAATAGATTACTCAGGCCAAGAGATGATTCTGGCTTATCTAAGTCTAGAAGATAATCATTTTCAAACTCCACAGTTTGAGGAAAACTACTTCATGATTTCGAGTCTTTGGGGAAAATTCTACACAAAATGCAGTAAAAACGGAGAATTTGGTAATACCTCCTTTGCCCTGAAAAACCTAAGGAAAGCATCTTAAGTATTATTTTGAATACACTTACCTGGATTTTGATCTAGATCGAGAATGGGATTCAGAGTGTTTGGAAACCCTTGATGGACTACGAGATCCTGACCTGCTCTCCGATTTTACACGAGCAGGAGTTCCCGTTGGAGATTTTGACTGAGAGCGAGACTCCTAACAAAGAAGACAGTATTACAAATGGCACTGGTCACGTAGATGCCTAACACCTAACATTTAAAGTACCGTAATTATTTTATATTGATTGCTCCTGAAAAACAAACGGTTAGGCAACACCCTCCAGAAAAAATTTCAGCTCATTAATAACCCATTGTTAATACTGCTAACTGTCCTCAATAATTCCCTACTTGAACCAGATCACCAATTCTCTATTAACTAAGTAATCATGCAAAATTCATCTACAACTTGATCATACAGACACTGGAACATAAACCATACATTTACTTAACCTAGGACCCATTCATTCTTCCAGATTCTTTTAATTCTACTTCACTCTTGCTTTCTACTTCTCTTCATTCTTCATTGAGTTTTTCATTTTTCATACTTCGTGTATTCTTCCCCAATTCAAACAATTCAAAATAGCCTTAAAAAAATATTCAAGTGCTTCTATCTGACCAATCTTCTGTTCAATTTTTTCCCCCATTCAATTTTAATTTTCTGATCTTTAATACTTTTCATTAGCCTTCTTTTATCTTGATTTATCTTCCACATTCTTGGAAAAAACTCTTCAATTTCTTCACGAACATTAACCTTAATGGAAAAAGAACATTTAGTATATTTAAGCACGTGGGGATTATAAAACTCTGCTGGAGTTCAGAATGTTATCTACCAAATGGAAAAGCCAGCAGGCAAAGTGCAAATAACTAGTTTATTAAAAAAACAATTTTATAATTTTAAAAATTGTTCAAAAGTCTAGATTCTAACAATTATAGAAAATTTATTGAATTTCTCTAAATGTTTTTTACCATACTCTTCACCCTCCTCCCCTTTCATGTTTCATCCTAGGTCCTAAAATGTGAACAATTTTAATATAAATGCTTAATTCAAATATAACTCTAACATTAACTGTAATTTCCCATCTAAGTGTTAAGTTTTTACTATTTTATAACCTGAAGATTCTTAGTGATCTTAAAATAAGCTTTCACTAAGTCATGCTAAGAAATCAAGATATAGTTAAAGCAAAGCATCCTAGGCTGAAATATTTGTACACCCTAACTAAACTCACATTACAGGACACATGCTAAGGTTCAAAGAAGTCTAAAAGACTAATAAAATGACTAACATCCTCTTCTGATTTTGTTTGATCACTATATCTGTGCTCACTCTGACTTAACCAGAAAGATGTTCTGAAGGCAAACAAGCATAATGAAAAAAATCAGGGGAAAAGGACTGGCTTATAAAATCCTAATATATGTATGTATTTTTGCAATCATGCCATCTTAAATGCTATGTTATCCATGAACTATCATAATGTATAAGAAGTTACAAAATTAATACCATAGTCTTATTTCTGATTCCACCTTTTGTTCAGTTTTTTTGCATATTTTATGCATTTATGCATACTTGAGGCTCCCTTCAATCACTACAGTCTTATATTAGAAAACTGGTTTCTGAGAAAGTTGAATGCAAATCAAATAATTTAAAACCAATTAAAAGCTTGCTTTTAAAATAAATCTTATGCAAATTTCTTTAAGATCAAAACTACCTTTTGTTTTGCAAATAATTGTACTTCACTATAAAACTAAATCTGCACTCATAGTATACCAGTGTACATAGGTTAATGAGTATTTATTTGTAAATAAATACTCATTAAGTATATATTACCTAAATCTAAGTATACACCAAAACTTAATTTAGCTTCTTAGTGATTTGAATGATATATAAGATGCACTGTTTGGTTTCTGTCCATTTAAAGCTTTTATTATTAGTGTAAATAACTATCCCAATTTCAAAGAAATACTATCATGTAATTTTAAACAAATCTTAAAACTTTTTTTCTGCTGAATACCAACCTTTTCCATTTAGCTACCTACAATAACTCTTTGACCACATCTCAGATATTCTCTCAATTCCTGGACAGACGCCTGCAGTAGGCATGGCAATTCAGGTTTTTTATTCATTGAAACACTGTCAAAGCAGCATATTCAGTAGTTTAAAAAAAAATCTATGGCTGATTTGTTTGTAATCCAAGTCTCAGAGGCTGGCTTAAACTGGTAAGAATATTTCCGACTCTTTCCTCTGGCTTTCACTGCTTCTATAAAATAGATCTTCTGGCATAAAGTTTACTTTCTTATATTACTGTTCAAGAGCAGTAGAAGGAATAATATCTACTTCTTCTTATACATGCATATCAGAAGGATTTGCTCTGTGAGACACTATAGACCTTTAATTTCACTAGGATATAAATCAAAATCACACTAAACCCAAAAATTTACGCTTACAATGTTTATTTGGCATAATCTCTCTCTAGTATATGAAAAAAATGTTTATGGTCAAAATATATGTATATTTCTGATATTCAAGTCTTTCCTCATGAACATGAATTTAATAGTTGATGAAAATTACTGCTTCTCAGGAATGAATGTAAACAAGGTAATGCAGTAATATCTTAAAATTTACATTGTAAATCCCAATTCTCGTGTAGCAACTTACCAGAAAAATCCAATTTTCCTTTTTATTCATCGACAAAGCATTACACTATGACAGAATGTCTTTTCAAAAGACACCAGCATACTTTTAACAAAGCCTTGCTTATCCAAGGTGCCGCAAATATCTAACATTCCTTGCTGTCTCACATCCAAGACCACCTGCCCCTCTCTTTTTAATGTCAGGGAAATCTAAATCTGCCTAATTTTCTTCATGGAAATCATCCAAGTTAAGAAAGTAGTTGTCTCTCAATTCCACTCCAACTACTAGTTAAAAAGCAGTCACTATCATTTTAACTTCCAAAAACAACTTGAGACTTAGGTAAAAAGGTAAATCAGTAACTTCCAGTAAACTTAACCTAAAGAATAAACTACAGCATACCAAACAGACTTTTAATTATTAAGCAGTATTTTTACTATAATACTCCCCCAAAAGGCATGTCCTTATAAGAACTGACAATTAAAAAAAAGTCTTCACACAGAAAAAGGGTCGCATTAATATTTACAATTTTTAAATAACTTATTTCTCAAAGGCTATTACCAAATAAATGTTTTGTTTTGTTTTTTTCTTCACTAAACTGTGCATTATAAACCAGGTTACCAAAACGCTTTATGGACTAATGCTAAATAATCCTTTTTTTACCTTGAATTTGTATTCATTATGAAATGATAATTCCAACTTTCTTCAAAGAAATTCATGAAACTAGTCAGAATTTGAAACTTGAATTGAAATGGGGAAAAAAAAGCCACGAAGGGGTGTACCTGCCCTATCTATGTTTCACCAGACTACATTTAATTAACCTGCTTTTAAAGCTCTCCAGTAATCTCACAAATTCCTCAGTAACATGCTCCTGGAGACAACAATTAAAAACATGCTGCCTAGTTCAAATGGAAAGATAATGACTCAAACAAATTATACAATGGATTTTAATAGAAACCTTAAATAGGGCTACCTCACTTCCTACATCAAGAAGCCAGGCAGAAAATACTCACAGCACAACCTGCTTAAACAGCTTTTGTTTGTTCTTTTAACTACTCTTCATTATCAAAGTACCGTTAGTGCGGCTGAAGGATATAGCCAAAGAGAATACAAAAGTACTACAGTGTACTCAACATAGCAGTCTAACTACCACCTTTCTTTTCTGTTAAAAGTTGTTTTTCAAAATAAACATGTACCCACTGTTGCAGAACATGAACAATTCCTGCAGCAAGCAATAACGGTGGTATATTTTAATACAGTCAGCATCATATTATAGGTGGAAGCAAAAAAAATTAACACTATATACTTAAAACACCCCACTGTCGTTGAGTCAATTCCGACTCATAGCGACCCTATATGCTTAGTACTTAGTAAAGTACTAAAATTAAAATAAACCCACAAATCAATATAAATGCTGCGCTGTAATCCATTCCAGTATTAAGCCAAGGCAAATTCTACATGAAGTACAAGTTTTTAAAACAAAGTTTCTCAAAATACATTTTCCACTACTTTATAAAGTTGGAAATCTATTTCCACAGAAGTACCCAAAAAATTCACGATATTTATTGTACTAAGAACTTCATTCTTTAGGACTTTTAAGAAACCTTCTTGCTCACTCAATTCTTTCAGTCTGCAGAAATTGCAGCTCTGCAGTCCTGTTGGATAGGATACGTCTCTTAAAGACTCTTAGGCTAAAATGTTCTGCATCCTACTTTGGTGACTGGCATCTGGGGTCTTAAAAGCTAGCGAGCAGCCACCTAAGATGCATCAACTGGTCCCAACCCACCTGGAGTAAAGGAGAATGAAGAACACCAAAGACACAAGGAAAGTATTAGCCTAACAGACAGAAAGGGCCACATAAACCGAACACTGCATCAGCCTGAGACCAGAAGAACTAGATGGTGCCTGGCTACCACCAATGAACGCCCTGACAGGGAACACAACAGAGTCCCTGATGGAGCAGGAGAAAAGTGGGGTGCAGAGCTCAAATTCTAGTAAAAAGACCAGACTTAATGGTCTGAGACTGAAGGAATCCAAGAGCACATGGCCCCCGGCCTCTCTGTCAACCCAGCACAAAAACCACTCCCCAGGCCAACTCTTCAAAGATTAGACTATGGGACATAAAATGATACTTGTGAAAAGTGTGCTTCTTAGCTCAAGTAGATACAGGAGACTAAATGGGAAGCTCCTGTCCGGAGGCGAGATGAGAAGGCAGAGAGGGTCAGGAGCTGGTTGAATGGACACAGGAAATCAGGGGTGGGAAGGAGGAATGTGCTGTCAAGGTATAGGGAGAGCAATTAGGGCCACATAACAATTCATGTATAAATTTTTATATGAGAGACTAACTTGAACTGTAAACTTTCACTTAAAGTACATTAAAAAAAAAAAAAAAAAAAAAACTTCTTAGGCTTATAACAGAAATACCTCGTCTCTTAACCCATAACAGCAATTAGAGCAATCCCTTAAAAAAAAAAAAAAAAAAAAGACTGCTTATATTAGCCATTTAAAAATGGTTAATTTCCCTGTTATTATTTTTAAGTATGAATTTCCCTTCTTGAAGGTCATACCTGTATGCTGCATTCTGAATGAGGTTAATGTGGTCTCTGTACCAGCAAAGACTCACAGCATTTTAATACTGTATGTCTGTCTATTCACCAACGTTTGGAATAATTGTAGGAACTTTTATCATAAAGAGATGACTTAGGAACTGACACCTATACATATATAATCAAATTTGAGCTCATGTCACAACTGTGAAATTACCTGTAAAATTTATACTTTTCTAAAAATTTTAAACATGGCTCATACACCTGCCAGCTTTTATATCATAATCACTTGTAATGTCCAAATGCTAGTATAAATGTGGCAATTTCAAAAGGTGTACAAAACAAGTTTATAAGGACTAAAGTGGCTGGACTATAGTAAAAGTCAATAAATAGTAATTTAAACTACTAAGAACCTGTTAAAGCAATCTTCACTTAATAGCTTCATCTTCTGCTGTCATGGACTTTTTTTTTTCTTTTTAAAAAATAAGTCAGACTACAGGGCCCTAGTTTCAAGGGAAAACAATAACCCTTCTTCTATCTCAGCCGCGCTAGGCCTGGCAAAAAGGTTTATATGAAATT